AATGGTAAAAACAAAAGAAACAGAGAAAAAATCGTTCCCTTTCGAGAAACGAGGGTAAAAGACATATTCGCTCATAGAGGAAAAGTAAAGGTTACTGGTGGAGTGGTGGATGACAAGCACTGGTTATGTGTCGCGGACTGTGCCGAGATAGGAGAACGGTTGGGTCCCACATCTGCTTGACGTGCCTTGTTTGCATTTTTCTTTGTCAGCAATTATCACAATTGTCTCGGTTGGAATCTTTTTAAACAAAAGTTTGCCCCGAAAAGAAAAAAAGTTTGCCCATTCTTTTGTTCTGCCAGTATCGGATGGATTCTGCTATGTTTATATGACATTCACTAGTTTTAGGGAGTGATTTTCCTTTTTCAGTTGTTGGAAGTGAAATTTATTGAACCGAAATTTCTGCTAAATATTAATATTAGGCGATGGGGTTATAGAGTAAATATGTGTATATCCTTGGAAACTCAAATATATTACTATATATTAATAGGAGTGATGGTCGTAAATCGGAATACTCATTTGGCCTGCTGTGACAGTAATTATTTTGACTCCACCGCCAAAGACCGCACTCATTCTCTGTCGTGCTCGACCCTAACCATTTAAATACTGTTCCTTTCACGTTGTTCTTGTGTGTTTGCTTCAGTTACTTCTTTAATTTTCTGAATCTTTCCAAATATCTCTATTAATTCTTAGTTCAAACCAAAAAAACTTTTTTCTCTGTACAAACTAAAAAAAAAAAGAAGAAGAAGATGGGAAACTGTCAAGCAGTGGACACAGCGAGAATCGTGATACAACACCCAAATGGGAAAGAAGAAAAACTAAGCTGTCCAGTTTCTGCAAGTTATGTGATGAAGACGAATCCTGGCCATTGTGTTTCTCTTCTCATTTCCACCACCGCTCTTTCCGCCGCTTCTTCCGGCCAGGGAGGCCCTCTTAGGCTCACGAGGATCAAGCTCCTCCGTCCCACTGATACGCTTGTTCTCGGCCACGTCTACAGGCTCATCACCACCAAAGGTATTATATTAGAATAAGATGATTAATCCTACTCCAAGCTAAGGGACCAAGTCTATATTGTTTCTTTTTTGATATGGCAAGTCTATATTGTTGTATCCTCATATGCTTAGTGTTAAGTCGTTTATCAAAAAAAAACACTAGCCGCAAGTCTTTTTGTATAAATATAGTACCCTATAATATGCATGTATACCTCTTTTTGTGTTTCGTTGTTTGGATGAGGTCTAATCCACTAATTTTGAAACTTGTTGGGGTGAGATACAGAGGTCATGAAAGGTTTAATGGCTAAGAAATGTTCCAAGTTGAAGAAACAAGGTAAGGTGTCGGAGGATCAGCTAAAGGTGATGGAAGCAATAAGCTCTACCAAACTTGACAATGAAGATAAGGTAATATTTGCAATTTGTGATTAAGATTTAGAGCCCTAAGATTTACATGTTTAATTATATAGCTTAGTGAACGACTAGGTATTGAAAATTGTTTTTAACTGGGATGAAAAACGTATACAGCTGGATACGAAGAGGCAAGAGAAAGAAAGGTCAAGAATTTTAAGATCATGGCAGCCCTCTCTACAAAGCATATCAGAAGGAGGATCCAGCTGAGAAATTTCTAAACCTTTAGAGATCATTCCAGAGAAACTTCGAAACATGAGGATCAAGTTTGGAAAATAGGAAAGCCAGTGAGAGACAAATGACAAAAGCTGGTCCCTTGTAATGTGTGATATTAAAGTAAAAAGATTTGAAACCAGTCATTCATTTTTTGACTGAAGACTCGAGTTCTCCCAACACAAAATACAGATATTGTCAAAAGTTGGCGTTACGAACTTAAACGAAGCATTAAGCGTGCTTGGAACTAATCATTTAGGGTATAAATGGGGTTGAATTTCTGCTAAATTTTTAGTGATTTTTTGCGCAATTTAGCTGAATAATATTAATTTTTAAAGATAACAAAATCTGCAGAATTTTTGAAA